TATACATATACATATACATATACATATACATATACATATACATATACATATACATATACATATACATATACATATACATATACATATACATACATTTTCTGACTTTGTCCTTTCAGTGTTATGATGGATTGTGTTGCTTTCATCAGCTGAACATAAACAAAATATTACAAAAGAATTCCTCCCATAGAAAAAATAATGAACATATTTTGGCAATTATACATCCATGCATTACAAAAGGTTATGTATTTACACTTTAAAACAAGTAGGCAAAACTAAGTTATGCTAATACAAAAGTACAACTGAAACATCAGCAAACTCTTCTGAAGGTTAGTTTGCAGATCTGAGAACCTCTAATAAGAGATTACTATTTATTCTAAACAAGTTTGGAATGTAATAGAATTGCCTTTAAAATGTGTAGGCCAAATATTTTTGCTAAAATTAAGAGAAATTAAATTGTTCCCAACCTCTTCCTAACTAAACAATTTGTGCAGTTCATGCAGTCCGTTCTGGCTAATAATGCTTTCAGGTACATAAAGGTTTTCCATTTTGGCTTCATCTTTCCCATTCTTGCTAATAAACAAAGATGTTATACCCCAATGATGGAGAACCTTTTCATCACTGAGCTGAAAAATGAGCATGCATGCACATATGTGGCACCAAATGCCAAAAAGGGAGAACTTCACGCACGTGCACGCTCAACTGGGCTGTAAACAGGAAGAGGAGATGCTCAGGGGGCATGTGCGTGCCGGAAAATGAGCTTCTGGTTTCTGGTGCGTGTATGTGCACCAGCCAGCTACTCTTCTGGCTACTGCCATGCATGTGCATGCGCCGACAAGCTCTTCCGGTTTCCAGCACTGTCACAAGCACAAAGGCCAGTTGATCGTCACATGCACATATGTAGCAGTAACCGGAAGAGGAATGGGTGACGTCGTATGTGTCAGGTGACATGGCTCCAAGTACCACTTCGGGCACGCATGCCATAGGTTTGCCATCATGGTTATAGCTAAATTTGGAGGGGAAATTGCAAACAAAGCATGTGCTTCAATACTGATGTTTCATTAGAACATCAACACAGATTCCAAAATCTTTCAGTCACCATAATTAAACATCCAATTCTGAGAGTTGGATTCCCAACACATTGGCAGTTGACAGGTTGGAGAAGACAAGTTTATACATATTAGTAATAATACAATCAAGAAGGGTCTTTTTTTTAACATTTGTTTCCTGGTGGTATGTCTGTCTAGTGCAGGGGTAGTCACCCTTTTTATAACTACCGCCCACTTTTGTATCTCTGTTAGTAGTAAAATTTTCTAACCGCCCACCAGTTACACAGTAATGGTGATTTATAAAGTAGGGAAGTAACTTTACTTTATAAAATTTATAAAGCAGAGTTACAGCAAACCCCTACCACCCACCATGAAAGCTGGAACGCCCACTAGTGGGCGGTAGGGACCAGGTTGACTACCACTGGTCTAGTGGCTTGAATTTAAACAGGCTTTAGCAGGATTTCTCTCCCACTAAGGAATGAAGCAGAGTAGCTGTTGTATTAATTCACCTTACGCTCTGCAGGCTTTTGAACTCTAAAAGTGTGCCCCCAAAAGGTCGGGAGCAGAATAGTACAGAAGTTCCTGGGGGCCACAGGAGGAAGTCAATACTGATTATTAACAAATACTGTAAATTGGTGAAAGTTTAATTTATGCAGTTCAGTTATTATTTGCCTATAAAAACTAATGGTAAAAAAGATTTTTTTTAAAGATAACAAATCTACATTAACAAGAATTAAGAGCAATTCTCGTTAATACTTTTTTTTTTTTTGAGCTGCTAAACCTCTTTATATTCTAATATTCTAGCATATTGGACTTCAGCTGGAAGGTATGTCTGTAATGCTTCTTTGGACCTGTAACAGTCAGGGCACTCCCTATGATGACCCTGCTGACTTTTATAGGAGATTTTAATAAAATTCAGGTTTGACGTTTCCCAAAATATGATCTTCATAGAGGGGGAGACAACAAAAGAAGAATCCAAGACCTACTGCCATGATACACATGGTCCACCCAAATCCATAGCTCCAATCAAACACATGCACGGTATTTACTGGGAAGGCCACACGTGTTGAAATCATTACAGCATAGATGACAAGGCCCATTAGTGAGAATACGGCTGCAAAAAAACAGAAAGATTAAAAATTAGTTACTAACACATGAAAACAGTAAGAGAACAGAATGGATTGTATGTTTTTAAAAATGGCCTTGGGAGAATTCTGAGCCCTGTCGGCATCCTACTCCTATGGTAGTTTGTATTCTAATTGCCCAATCTATCTAATATTGTGGTTAAATTAAACTGTCTTATGCCATCAGGCAAATGATTTATGCAATCCAGTATTTGGCAGTATCATAAGATCCAGCCTTGTAACGTGAGACCATTTTTAGGTAAAGAGGCTAAGGGTTAACTGGAAGCAAAGCATGTTCTTTACCACTAAGCTGCAGTCCTTTCCCTACTTTGAGGCAAAAAGGCTCTTTTTAGATTCTCCTCCCCTGCCCTCTATTTCAGGATATGGATATTGTCTTGTTCCCTGGTTTAAAATGAAATAGACAATGCTTGGGCCTTTTTTAAAAAATGCTACTATTTTCTCCATTAATTATAACAGAGTATCATCCCTATTAGCCTGCTTTTATGATATACAGGTAGTCCTTGACTTACAACCATTCATTTAGTGACTGTTCAAAGTTACAATGGCACTGAGCAAAACACATTTACAGCGTCCCATGGTTATGTGACCAAAAATTGGGTGTTTGTCAACTGGCATGTACTTATGACAGTTGCACTGTCCCGGGGTCATGTGATTATCATTTGTGACCTTCCCTGCCAGCTTCTGACAAGCACATAGTCAAGGGAGAGGGAAATCCAGATTCACTTAATGACTGCATGATCCACTTAACAACTGCAGTGATTTGCTTAACAATTGTGGCAAAAAAGATCAAAAAATTGGGGCCCTGACTCACTTAACAAATGTGGTTGTAAGTTGAGATCTTTCTTTACTGCACTTTTGTTGAGTTTCCTGAGAAAATGTGAAATGGCACAAATCAAATCTATTGGACTAGATGACCTACAAGGTCCCTTCCAACTCTGTTAATCTGTATCTGTAAATCTTTTTTCATACTTACATTGTTATTTTCTTACTGCCATAGAAATAGCAGGTGTCTCTCCAAACTAAAATCTGTTCTGCCATATTCTACAATATTCTACCCATACTTCTTTTGCTTTGGATACATAGCCTTACCAGCAACAAAACACAAGCCTCCTATGCCTCTAATGAAGTTGAAGCGAAGTGTCGGGATGGCAAAGGCGATGATGGACAAGGCAAAACAGATGCAGACAAGTACAAATCCAACTAAGAAGGTAGCAGCTGCACCTCTACCCCAAGCTGGAAATAAAAACAGAAAACAATGGTTCCATCTTTTATGCCTCATCCTAGCAAGCTACAGTTCTAAAATACCATTCAGTTATTCAAGAAGGTACGATAGGATATACATAGCAATCCATTTATCCGTGTTTTATGTAATAATGGGTTATCAAATAAACCACAATTTGGATGGGTTCATATACAATAGTAAGGCATTTGCCATGGCTTACCAAACATAACAGCTAGATTTCCATGATCTGCTAAACTAAATCAAATGTCTCAAAATGCTTTGTGAACTCCAATCATTGCATCCATATAGTTTCATCTGCCAAAGGGAAGGGGGTAATTATTTCATGGATTCTTTGATTTTAAAGCAGCTACAGTTTTAGAGTAAGCCAATAGTAAGCATTTGTTTTTTTCAGCCAAATAGGTATGATAAAGATATCACTACCTTTGCTGTTAGGCACCATATCTTTGTCTCTGTTAAGTAAGGCTTTCTGGGTTATTTTAATATTTCAATAACCTGTTTGAACAGGAATGACTGTGGGACGCATAACCAGATTAATTCTGGTTCTCGTAAAATCTCTTTCATGTCTTGCCATTAGTGCAGAATTGACAACCACAGTGACACTGATTTCTTTGGACCGAAAATACAATAAAAGCAGGAATAACTTGAGAATGTAGCAGAGAAAGGAATGTAATGGAATCTAAATCTTAACCATCTAAACACCTGGGAGTATTTTTTTATTTATTTGTTTCAACTGAGATGCTCATATAATACTGAATTGCTTTATACCAATTAAATCCAGGAAAGATCCTGGCATGTCAAATGTTAAAGACATTTTGTTAAGAATAGTCAGCTCAGAGTTTATAAAAGCATTTGTAAAAAAGTAGAAATCTTTATACAAAGATATTAAAACTGAGAAGATCACGTTGAAAAGCTGAGGCAATGAATAGTAGGGACTAACTGGGATTTTAGAGACCCAAATTCAAGAGATGTGTCCCATGGCTTTATGAAAAGAGCACATGGCATACAAGATAAATATTCTACTTTTATTTGTGCAGTATTTTTGCTTGGAATGGCATTTTAAACATTCCTGGGTATATTCCTCAGATTTCATTCACCAATGTAAAATAAATAAACTACTTAAGAATTCCTTGGAGGATTTTAAAATTTTCTACACATGAAAATTTAACTGTCTCTGTAAAAATGATTGACACTTATTACACAAAAATGATTGGATCCTATTACATAGTATAAACAGAATATCTGTCACTGATTAAACCCTTCACTGCTGAAGATTTTTTTAAAAATCCTTCATTTCACTTTATTTAGCTTGCACCCTACATAACCATTCAAATATTTTGTTCTGAAGATCAACCAGAAAATAAAAGTGTTCATGACATTAACACTATTTCCAAAAAGAGACAACCATATTTAATATGCTTCCAAAATGTGTTTGCTGGAAACATTGGTATCAGTACATTCAGAATACTGAAATCCATTAGGTATAATCATTTAACCCTATTATGTCACATTGTGTACCCAAATAATTTCTTAGACTTTATGATTGGCACCAATAAAAAACATCAAAACCATAATTTTCCAAATTTTAAGTTGCTATGTTTTCTACTGACCAAGACAAAAATAACAGCTACAAATTCCTTAACCTGAGAGTACAAATAAACCAGAAAAGGGAGGTTTTTATAGCATCTACTTGCACAATTGTGCTGCCTGACAATCAATTCCTTCTTTAAAAAAAACACAAATTACTAAGCATTTCTAATATGGAGAAAAAAGTTGAAGTAATGATAACAGTGAGAAGAACTATTTGGAGTTACATGTACAAAGATGTTATAAAGCATATGATGCCCCTAAATATTTAGTGTAATTTGTGTCACACACACACATACACACACAGAGAGAGAAATTGTCTTACAGTGTCTCCATCACTGAGATCCTTACCAAAATCCATGAGAGATATACATTGCCTGCCACCTTGTAAAGAGCATAACTTCCATAATGTGCCTTCAGTAACAAATGAAGAAGTTTGTGAGGTTACCCAGCCCGAACCAGCTAACGAAATGATGCCAAAGATCATTGCTAAGCCCAGCAGAAGAGGCAAGATCCATCTGCAGCGGGTATAATCCAGACCATACTGAACCATCTTGCTGTTAGGTCTTTTCCAGTCACTTTAAATGCTAAGCAAAAAAAAAGAAAGGTCTTCCTGTAATGGCTTTAGTAGTCTGGGAAAACAGGGTTTAAATAAAATGTGTGTGAATGGAAAAGAGACAGAGCTGTGGAGATGAAGAAAGAAAGGAAAGCAGAGAACAGCTTTGTGATCCTCGCAGGCCCTAAAGAAAACTCCACCTAAATTTCTATGAGCAAGTCACTACAACAACCTGTTGATCTGGAAAGAAAATTCAGGGTTGGGACTATGCTCATTTTAGAACCTGTCTCCTCCTCCTTTGTCAGCTACTAATTAAGATAAATATAGATTATACCCATTGCCATTAGTATTTAATCTTTTCCATGGCAGTAGCATTTCATAACAAACAGCACTGAAGGGCTTTTGAAGAGAGCAATGAAAGTGAACTGTGCATTTTTGGTGAATGAACTAGTCCCAGTCTTTAAAAATATTGAATAAATTGTTGAGATTTCTCACTGCTTAGCTCTAGGAGTCTGAACAGCAAAATCCAATATGAAAGACTTATCTGTATTGCAAAGTGATTTTTATTGCAAAGCAAAAAAAGTTCTAATTTTGAATAGTCATATATTCTCCAATGACAACTAAGGGCTGTATTGGCAGAAAAGGTGTAGCTTCTTACGTTGCATGATTGTGTGACATCAGATTGTACTACATCCCTAATCCTTCTTAGCAACATAAATGGGCCTCTAGGAAACATCCAGTGAGAGGGATTTCATGATTTCCAACATCCTGTGAGAGGTTTAGATCATTTTTCTTAAACCCTGGAACTATAATTCCCAGAACCACTAGGGCCTAACCAGCATTGGCCATGCTCAGGGTTGTAGTTCCAACTCAGTGGGAGGGTACAAAATTGGGAAAGGTGAAAATAAGCAAAAGCTATCATACCTAGGCTCCAAAAATCTAGAGGACAGAAAATTCTAGTTCTTCATTGCCATCCAGTGACTGTCCAGATTTTTTGCAGTCCTGAATTGTAAGCTTTATGCAGCTTCATCAAGAGGCCTACATTTACCCATGAAGGAGCTGGGCTGAGAGCCACAAAGTAGATGTGATTAGGTTTGCTTGTTTTAAAACAGAGGACAATATTCTAATTTTCACACATTACCCAAATCAAGAGTGGAAATTTGTGACCATCAGAGGTGCTTTGGGGGACATTGGTGTAACGAAAGGTGGCCTTCCCCTTTTTCCTTTAATAGTGTTGAACGCATGCATAAAAGGTGCATGGCTTGGATTGGTATGTCTTTTATTACCAGGTTAACAATTTTTATCTACCTGGCACAGTGGGGAAGGTGCCTTCTAGAGAGAAAAAAGGGGCAGTCATGGGTTTCAAATTTTTTTAGAACTTCTTCTGAAGGTGTGGCCTGCTTTGTGGGAGTGGCTTGCCAACCATGTGACCATGTGGGAGTGGCTTGCCAACCATGAGACTGGATGGGAGTGGCTTTCCAGCCATGTGACCAGGTGGGAGTGGCTTGGCAGTCATGTGATTGGGTGGGCGTGGCCAGCTTGTAAAATGTGGTGAAACTCACTTAACAACACTCTTGCTTAGCAACCAAAATATTGGCTCAGAAACTCTGGCATTTGAAGCACGCAAGTCTTAAAACTGTCAAGTTACAAGACCCTTGCACCCCTAACCCTTTAGAAAAAAAACCCCAGGGGTGTTCAAACTTGACAGCTTTAAGGCTTGTGGACTTCAAGTCCCAGAATTCCTCCTCCAGTCATGTTGACTCAGTCATGTTGCCTTGTCCCTCCTGCAAACCAGCATCTGATGCCATCACACTACCTGACTCTAAAATTATTTTGTGTCTCTGAGATAAGAGAATGTACTGTATTTCCTTTATTTGTAACCTTCTACCTACACCTTTCAAATCCCGCTTCTCCCTGGATTGTCATCCTATGGACTGCCATCTTCTGATTTGCCCTTCTGCCCTCCAACACCAATGTCCTGATTCACAACTGGATGACATGGCTAAGGCTTTAAAAGTGGCTTTTTACAGCTTCCAACTTTATTGCTTACCCATCATTATGTGGAGTCATATACAATAAACTCCATAAAGTATACAATACAACCCTTTTTTTCTTCACAGGGAAAATTTTTATTTCCTCTGATTATACCATACTCAGTCATAAAGAAAAAATATTTGCAGATCTTTGCAACAGGTGGTGGTTTTGGACATAACCTGCAATCACATGAGTGGTTCTTGAATTCTTGTCCACATACTTAAAGCTGAAATTGGACCAAAACCATACCATAGTTCAAGTATCAATTTGCAAGTGAGACATGCCACTGGATC